TTTGAGACACGTCCATCTTTTGAATTTGCTTGTCATAACGCATTTAATTTTAAGAGAACAGTTGTAAAGTTGTGAACTTGCCGTCTTTACTCTTGAATATGCGTAAGTACACAGTGCTCTATCCTTTTCCTGTGCCGACTTGGTTCTAGACTGTGTGTGTGTGTGTGCAAAGTATCATTGATCACCTCTGGCGAGATGAAGGCACCTCGCTAGCTTCCTTTTTCTTTTCTGTAAGCGGTTACTACACGTCTCGTTGTGTCCCCGGGGAGAGATGGGAAAAATTGCCTCTGCTCTTCGAAGTCCATTTCTCAAGGGACATCAGTGCTCACATGCATCCGATTTACATTGTAATTGGTCACTGGCTGTCTGGTCCAGACAGCTGTTTCAACTTAAACCCAAGACAGTTGCTATGGAGATGGTTGGCTCGAAATAGGTCACGTTCAAGTCCTTTTCCCCCTGGATATAAGGGAATGCCGTAATTCTAGAAGTGTCTCAATTGAACAGAAAACATGTGAGTGGGCAACCACATCCAGAATAGCTTTCTCTTTAGGATGAGGCTTAGGACAGAGGCCTGTCTACTCACGTTGCTGCTGGTACCCGCACACAACACACCTGAAGATTATTCCTGTTAAAAGGAGTAAGCGATGGCATGATTTGCAATATAACCTTGATTAACTGGCTCATATGTGATTCTCAAAAGATGTTTATCTCATAAGCACCTAAGCAAAGTAGAATAGTATTTATTTTCAAGACATGACCAGGAATTTAAGAACACGTTTTTAAAAACATGGCGTTAACAGCAGCGTGTAGAAAAGGAAGCCATCTTGTGTCATTGGATGGGATTTGCATAAATTTGGCCAGAGAACATCGTGGATTTCCCCGGGCACCTTGACTGGAATGGTGTCCCTGTGTTGTGGGTGACTTCCGTGACTTGTCTTTCTTTGTTCATGTGTCACATGGGGAAGGGTTCCTGACTCTGCACCTGACCATCACATGGGCACAGACGGGCATCGGTGTGGTGCTCCTGCAGCCCCCGAGCTCTGTCTAGTCTGCGGCTTGGTGAATGGAATGCCTCCTGCCCTCTGTTTCCCCCCACCCCTCCCCTGCCCCACTCCCACGGTGCTGCCTGCTTCAGGGAGTGGCTGAGAGTCCGTGCAGCGCCTCTCATCATGACTGCGATAGCGCATGACAACACGTGCTCTTCCTGACACTCCTTTGGGAACGACACCTGTTCTGACCCTTTGCTCAGCCCATCAGTCTCCTGAGAAGGGTGAGTGGGCAGGTGGCCGGGGCTCATGCTGAAGACGTACTGGGGACAGATTTTCACTAATTAGAATATATGTTCTTTGAAAATTCTTAGAGAATATTGTAACATGCAGTAACATACATGAATAATAGTGCTAGTGATAGCTGACACGTCTGTGATTCTTACTGTGTACCCGGGACTGTTCTGAGCTCTTTACACAGACTTCCCTGTTTAATCCTCACAGCAACCCAAGGAAATGGGGAGTAGTGGTGCTGTTCCCATTTTACAGATGAGGAAACTGAGGCCCAGAGAGGTGAAATGAGCCCAACATCATGCAGCTTTCAATGGTGGTGCTATGGTTCAGGCTTGGGCAGCCTGGCCCCAGGGAGGCTGGTCTTACCATTGTGCCACGAAGAGCTATATATTAACATTTAAGAACAGTCTTTTTTTCAGATTATCGTAGCGCAGTGGGTTATCTTGCTCCTCCCAGGGGACATTTGGCAATATCTGGAGACATTTTGGTTGTTACAGTTGGGTGTGTGGAGGGAGCTGGTGGAGTCCGGTGGGGAGAGGACAGGGAGGCTGCTAAGTGTCCTGCAGTGCGCAGGACGGCCCCCTCCACCGAGGAATCACCGGGCCTCCTGTGTCAGGAGAGGCGAATGGAGAAATCCCGTTATAGTAACACGTTCTTTCTGAAAAGTGGAATCTTACCCCCCAGACCTTGACCCTGTTTAAAAAAAATGCGTGTATATTCTTTCAGACTTTTTTCTTCTGATTATAATAACATACATTCATATGCATACATTTTACAGAAAAACAACCAAATGTATTCTATTCTACAGGCTATCTTTATGACATATACATATTTCCACATTGGAGTGTCTTTTGATAATTGTATAGTTTTCCTGTAGATGGATGGATATCAAGGATGGGTTATTTGGTAATTTTTAAATAGCAATAATATTATAATACTGTGCATATACGTTTGCATGCTCACTTCAGGTCTGACTGTTGGAGAAAGCCCAGGCTGTGGCTGTGGGCCGAGGGCAGTGTTCTCACGGGGTCCCCTCCCCCCGGCTGCTCGCCCTGTTTCGCTGCACACGTCCCAGAGATAGATGATCATTGCGTGGCCCTCTGATTCCAAGCCGTGTAAGCTAGTGGTCCGTTTTGGATGGGTTTCTAAGGTAGTGTGAAAGATGTCAGAAAAAAGGGATGCTGGGAGAAATGAAAAGCAGTTTTCTAGGATGAGAGAGTGTGTGTCTACAATGGGGGGAAACTGAATCGGAGCTAAGCGCTGGCGTGTGTAAGGTGGTGCCGGGCCCCACCAATTGGAGTTCGTAGACATTTCTGAAGGAAAAATGAGGTGACTGGGTTCACACTCTGTACCCCACTTGGTAGCCGTTGACTAAGAGAAATAAATAAGATAAATAATCTAAAAACCGTCAATATGCCAAGTGTCTGAAACCATGCTGAGGGCTGCTGGGAGTGGAAGACCCCCTTGGGAATTAGGCTCGGCACCTGGCAGATAGCGGGTCTCAATAAGCGTTCGTGACCAGAGAGGACCGAAGGGAAGGGGACAGGGCACGCCCTGAGAGGCGGCTGCAGCAGTTGCCCTTGGGTCTGCTGTCCGTAAGCCAAGTCCACGCGCGCCCCCACGAAGAAGGGGTGGGACGCCTGGAGCCTTCTGCTCAGAAGGCCTGTGTTTGGCCGTCTCTGCTACAGCTGTGCACGTGTGTACTGAACCCCTGAGCCCCAGCAGTTCCACTCCACGGCGTGCCATCAACAGAGGTGCGTGTGCATGAACCCCATGTCATGAGCTCTTCAGAATGTTGAGAGGAGTGGCACAACTCCTGATAGCCCCGAAGTGGAGACTACCCAAATGTCTATCGTAGGAGAACAGCTTTAATAAAGCAGCTTCTTTCTCAGTTGCTAATGATGAAACGTTTCAAAACACAAAGGTACGAGAAAAACAGGCGTGCTAGTTTCTACTGCCCAGATGGAACTAAGGTTAACATTCCGCCATATTTGTCTTTTTCAGTTCTTTTAGGTTTTTTTTTTTTTTAATTTAAGAAATAGAACCTTCTGGTAGCTTAGCTTATCAGTGCTGGGGGCGGGGTAGAGTTGGATGAATGATCGGAAGATACTGGGACACAAGGAGGTAACCTGGCTTTCTCTGCACGTCCTGTCCTGACAGGCAATGAATTACGTGTCACTGGCACCTAAACATCAAGCAGTCCCATCAGGAGAGCACCTTGGATTAAAGTTTGTGGCACGCCACAGGTGATGCAGGAAGAAGCCACTGCTGTCACCTCTCCTGCTCTCTGAAAAAGAAAACTCCTTGCAGTAATGCCCTTTGAGGACATAATGCCTCTTTTGTTGAAAAGTGAAAGAATCTGGCTTTTTCCATCAAATTGTGATTAGAATACCATGAATGTTTTGTTTGTTTGTTTGTTTTTTTAGCTGAGCCATCCTGCTACCTGTTGGCAGCTCAGCGGCTGCTCAGCTCGGGCTGGACTGGAACCGCTGTTGCTCAGAGCTCAAACTCTTGAGCGAGCTCTTAACCAACTGAGCCACTCGGCCGGCCCTCCATGAATGTTTTGATTGTGCTGATGTGAAAAGAAGAAGGGACGGGAACAGGGTTTGGTGTGTTCAGTGATTGCTGCCATTGTCGGTGGGAACACAACCCCTTTCTCGTCCCCTCATCTGAGCTCCTCAGGATGCCAGGGAGTGCCCTGGGGATGACCTTGAGTCTGCCCCAGTTGACATTAGAAGAGTCATGTGCACCCCTCTGCTCCTCAGTTAGTATTGGCGACCGTGACGATGGTGGTGGTCTGTGGCTGTCCGGTCCTGCCTGCCTGTCAGGACGCCATGCTTGATGCTGGCCCTTTCCTGAGGGCTCGCTCGGTGCCAGCATGGTCGTAAGTCCTTGTGTACGGCACAGTCCCTCCTTGTGAGGTAGGAATTGTTCTGTCTCCATCTACAAAGGAGAAAACGGGCTTTGAGAGGGTCAGTAGGTGCCAAGGGTTATACGGTGAGTGGCAGAGCCATGTTTCAAATCTTTGGCTCCAAAGCCAAGTTCTGAGCCAGTCACTAAAGGAGGACCACTTGCTGTTGTTCCTTGTGTTCACAGAATGGTAAGGTAGGGTTAGGGTCCTGGGAACAGTTGGCCGAGCACTTCCCAGTCCTGCCGGCGTCGGCCTCCGGCCTCCTCTGTAGTCGGAGGGCGTCGGTGAGGCAGGGCTGCTCCCATGTTGGGGGTGAGGACACTGAGGGAGCCTGCCCAGGGCCACACAGCTAGTTTAGGGCTGGAAAGGGAACCGGCGTTGCCTGAAAGCACCCTCGCTATCTACCCTGGGCTTCCACTTGATCTCTGCCCACCTTGGCTGACTTTCAGCCCAGCTCTCCATCGTAAGGTCACCCCTGTCTCCCCATCTTTTAACCAGGAGCAGCACTACCCGTCTCTCACTCGTTAGACATTGTGGAGGATTAACTAGCAGTGCATTTAAAGCAATTCTTGGAAATACACACCATTTAAATACATACTGATGTGGTCACTGTGGTGCTTTGTGATGTGAAACAATACTTTTTGGCTAAAGATTTCCTTGCATGTAAATCTGTATTTTTCAATGCGCTGGTAAAGGTATGTGGTAGCTCCAATGGAAGCTGAAGACGGTGAGATTTTCGCTGCATGCACTGAGTCAGTATTTTTGTAGAGCCGCTGTCGCTAACCTCAGCTTGTTCGGGTTGCTTTGAGGTCGCAGCTGCTCCCTGGTGGTTACCTGTGAAAGGCGCGGACTGGAGGCACCCGGAAGGGCCCGGCTCGACTCTGCTGCACAGGTGAGGCCGGGGTCCCGGGTGTGCTCCCTTCCCAAGCAGAGTCCTGTGCCTGGCGAAGGCACCCAGTGGCCATCTGCACCTGAAAAAGGATGAGAGCGACAAACTCTGATTGGTAGGACAGTGAAATGGCAGGAAATAATGTACGTAAAGCCCCAAACACCGCCGAGCTCATAGAGGCTCCTAATAAGCGCCTCTGTCCTGTCAAAAAGTTGTGTCGTGTAGATTTGTTTTCCCCTTTGTAGGCCAGTTACAAATCTCATGACATGTTTAGTCTTGTCCGTGTGCCCCTCTCACGGGCGGGGCAGGGTGAGGAAGACCGTCTATGGATGAGTGGTTGTGAGGTGCCAGGTGCCAGGTGCCCGGCACACGCTCCAGCCTTGGCGGAAGGGCCCCTGTTCCTCCCTCCAGTCCTGACTGACATATTTCGAAGCTTCCATCTGACTGAAAAAACGCAGGGCCGCAAGTCGGTCAGCACGTCTCTGGGGTGGCAAGGAAATAATTATCTCAAGCAAAAATAGCATCGCACGTTAAGCCCTGGAGATGGAGGGGGGTTTGGGTCAGGACTCAGCCTCTCAGCAGCCCAAGAAACCTGCTCTCCTAACCCACTTTTTCGGATGGGATTTTCAGCCTCTATTTTTGCCAACATTTTCGGGTCCTGACCTCATTGTCGGGGACCTGGGAGTACGTGGAGCTCAGCCGTCGGGCCATAGCCCCTTGAGACATGGTGGGGATCTGGCACAGCCCGAGTTGGCAGCCTCCGTGGTGGGAAGAGGCTGAGAGGTGGAAGGCCACGCGTGCGGTTCTGGGGTTCCTCTTAGCTCCCAATGACCATTTCCCTTCCTGAATTTAATAGTAGAAGAGAAAGCTAAGGGGATAAGGGAAGCTCAGAGGGGTGTGCTGCTGTACTGACTGAGCCCATCTTCTGAGAAGAGCAGTGCTAAAAGCAGTGGCTGGCACGTAACAGGCACTCAATAAACATCGTTGGAAGAATAGATGGAAGTCGTGGTATAATTGCTGCAGGGAATTCAAAGCTGTCTGAGGGGTGCAGGAGGAATATGTGTCCACTTGGAAGAGTGAGTGGGGAATTAAAGTGACATGGTGCTGGGTAAATGTGCGTATCTCCTGTTTGCAACCTTAACCCGACCTTCCTCACCCTTCTGTACCCTTAGAAAAAATAAACGCTTGCTTGGCATCTGCTAGAGTGAGGCAGATTAGCTGGCTAATCTGTAGTAGAAAGACCCAAAGTTTAAAGGCAAGTGTCACTGGTTGGGTTCTCTGGACACAGACGCTGAGATAGAGCTTGGGGTGCAGAGCACTTAGGAGGGGCCCACACCCGCGGGAGGGACAGGGAGAAAGCAGGCGGGGCAGGGGGTGAAGCCATGACTACAGTGCAGGCCCAGGGAGTCCCAGCCAACCCCGCAGGGGCCCTGGGGTGTATGTAGCCCATGGGGTTGGGCTCAGGTGGCCGAAATGGCTGGGCCTTCTGCCCCTGCTGTGGTTAGTCCTTGGCGGCTCTGAGCTGGCTCTCTGCAGCTGTGGAAGGCCCCGAGGGAGCCGGCGGCTGGAAACTTCGGCTGACAGCACTCCTGGCGGCTGGGGCAGCACCGGTTCCTTAAAGGGGTACCTGGGCTGTGTATCTCCACAGCCACCTACCAAGCGACCAGGTGAGATTCTGTGGGGGTCTAGGCCTCCCTGCAAAGTGAAGAAATGTTTTGAGTCTACTTCTACGAGGAATTATCACCCACTTGGGAGCCTGGGATGTCAGAATCCCGTGGTGGAGGGTGACAGATGTGGTCTGGCTGGGGCTCGCGTTGGGGACCAGGACCGCCTCAGTGTCACAGAGTGAACTGAGGGTGACTGCGAGTACTTAGGAAGCCGGGTCCTGTTCCCTGTTCCAGCGGCGCTCTCGCTCTCCCCAGGCAAGACCACCCGGTTCTCCACGTCTCCTGGCACGACGCCGTGGCCTACTGTGCGTGGGCCGGAAAGCGCTTGCCCACGGAGGCTGAGTGGGAGTACAGCTGTCGAGGAGGCCTGCAGAACAGGTACGCACTCGGAGGGGCTCGTCCTGAACCTGGGGGACTGGCTTTGGTTAGAATGTCGGTTTAAATGACCACCACAGCTGTCTCGTCCCGGGCTTTCCTCATGTCCGTGAAGTTCCTAGGGAGACTCCGCTGGGTGGGCCACCAACCCCTCCCAGCCCCACAAAGCCAAGTGTCTGGCGAGGTGGCGCCCTGCAGCCCCTAAACGCCCCAGCAGTCCAGGCCCCCGGGTTACATGGTCTTCCTTAGAGCCTGCGGGCCAGCTGCCTTGCCTTAGCATTCACTCACATTAGACGTCTCCGGTGGCAGTGGTGCTTCTCCACTTCCAGAGCCATGAGATAGAAGGCGCATGTTTGGGTCACATCTTCTAGGCAAGGCTCCTTAAAACAGCGAAGCCTTTATGAACGTGTGGTGTGACGGTGCCTGATCACGCTACCATATAAGTGCAGAACGATGCCGGCTACCCCAGCCTTCTCCGAGTCCTTTTAGTTACGTGATTTATTTCAGGCCTCCTGAGGTTGTTGTGAATGTGACATGAGCTAGTTATGCAGAAGAGAAAAAAATACCCGGATGAAAAGCTTTATTTATTTATATACTTAAAAGAAAACCAAAATAGCTCACTCAGAGCGAGCCAGCAGTGGGCCCGGTTTCATTGCACTCCCGCCCTTGACCGCAGCCCCGAAGCCTGCACCTGTGTGCCAGGCTGCCTGACGCCTGTGTCTCTCCCGACAGACTCTTCCCCTGGGGCAACAAGCTGCAGCCGAGAGGCCAGCACTATGCCAACCTTTGGCAGGGCGAGTTTCCTGTGACCAACACGGGCGAGGACGGCTTCCGCGGCACCGCGCCTGTGAGTAGCGAGGTTTGCAAGGAGGGCAGCAGCGACGGGCACGCAGAGCCGAGCGGAACGCACGCGAGGCTTGGCCGGCCCTCCACCAGCCTGCAGCCCCCTTCCTGGGCTCACCTACGCCCACACATAGCAGACACTAATAAGCAAGCAAGCAAGCATGCAGTCTGTCTTTATAACGCATTTTCCTTTCCGATTCCGTTCTGCTTGTTGGAGAAACTTTGGAAAACCAAAAGGGCACAGAGGAGAAAATGAAAAGGGCCTGGAATGCTGGCAGCCAGAGACAGCCCCTGTCGGCCCCTGGGCGTTTTCTGTGCTGATGCTGCTTAGGGTGGCAAGTAGGCTGTGGGTGCTTGCGATGTGCCGGGCCCGATGCTAAGCCGGGTCAGGATACCCACTCAGTGTGGACTCAGCTCTGTCAGGTAGGCCCCGTTATCCCTGTTCTCCAGGTGAGCAGCTGGAATGCAGCACAGCTAGGACTTAACCAGGTTGGTTAGTCCCCTTGCCTGCCACACAGGTACATGCCGGCATGTGTGTTTCTGCGGTGTATGTAACTGTGTATATTTTACGTGGTGCTTTTGGTCACACTGAACACAGCACTTACGACCCTACTCTGTCTCCCTGCTCGATATCAGGAACATTTTATCTGTCATCAACAGTTCTTCACACATACATTGCCTTTAGCAGCTAGATAACCTGTCATTTGAACAAACCCTAATTTAGGTTACTTTTGATTTTTTGCCAAACAGCACAGTGAACTTGTCCATAAATGTTAAATGTCTCTCTGATAATATTTTTAAGTTAGACTCCCGGCAGTGAAATTAATGAGTCAAAGAGTAGAACGTGTGCTTGGCGAGCATTGTAGGTATATGGCCGAGGTGTTTCCAGGATGTGTGTGGCATATTTCCCTCCACGCGTGCACGAGGGTTCTTTTCTCACGGCTCTCTTGCCAGCAAAATCACACGCTAATGAGGATGTTAAAAACATCCCATTTTCGCCAAACACAGTGAGGATAGCAGGTTTGTGGTGGGGGATTTACACCTTCCTGAGTTTGTTGTTTCTGAGAAAAATTTTCTTTCAACAATCTTTCAAACAGCTGTCATTGCTTAAATATTTGTAATTTTGTTTCACACAAAAATAATTCTCCCAAAATGCATTTGTAAGTGTAACATGGATATGTCATTTGGAACATGACCAAATGATTCCAAGATTTCCACTGAAATAATAAATGAATACTAAGTCTGTTACTTATAGATATTGTTACATACAAGGCATGATGGAAAAGGGGAAGAATGACGACACCCTTGAACTACAGAAATTTAGAAATATTTCGAGCTCTAGCAGTGAAAGCATGATAGGTTTGTTTTTGGTAGAATTAATGTAAAAAATAAATTACATGAGAATTTGTAGCCCTTGAGTAGGCATGAGAGCACCTGTGTGCACATAGATTCCTTATTTGGGTTAAGTACGTGGTAAAGGAACCAACACCAGCCAATGGCTAATGGCTGCATTGCTCAGCGGAGGCGAAATATTTACTCTTCAGACCTGGTAGTTGGTTCCTCCGAAATTTCCTTCAGGATCGCTGGTGCTCTCACGGACGCATTGATTATTCAGTAAAACAAGTGATTAGAGGTCTTGGGGACTAAGCGATCTCAACCTTTCCTCTACATGGGTAAGATGCCCTGCCAGAGCCTTCTGGGCACTGTTGGTCAGCAGAACTGGTGTGGCAGGATGAACAGAATTTCGGGTAAGACGCCCGAAGAGGATGCTCGGGAGACCCCAGGAAAGACGCTGGGTGATGCAGACAGCAAGACAGTGGCCACCGGAGTGTTACTCACTGCTAAGGAATGTGCAGCACGTCCCCTGCGATGCCCTAACACTCAATGTGGATGGCCCTGGAGTGTCGGGCCCACACCCAGCTTTCTTCGGCAGGGGCCACACGAGGGAGTCTGGCACGAGTGGGGCCTCAGCAGCCTGGATCCCCTCCCGGATCCTAGGCTCTGAGACGCAGGGCCACTGCGAAGCCTCTGAACAGCAAATCATATAAGAGCCCATCAGTTCTAGTAAAAGGTCCGTTTTAGGGAAGGCTGTATTGGACATTACGAGTATTTTACGGCATTTACTGCTAAAGGATTTCATATCACTGTGTAAGCACAGGAACCTCCGATGGAAATTGCCATTAATCCTCAGGTCAGAGCAGGTTTTCAGAAAGCACAGAGTTCCAAGTGAAATTAGGACACTGCCGATGCTTCCAGTCGGAACAGTGAACTGGGAGTTCAGCAGGTGTCTGCTTGGAGTGTACTCAACAGAACTTACCTGAAGAAATTGCTGTGGACGGTCCTAAGACAGAGTTAGAACAGTTACCACAAGCCCTCAGAGAACCGGTTTGAGAAACAGGACCTGAGCAGAGAGGAGCCAGCCAGCTACAGAGAGGTGACTTCCACCTGTGTTTGGAACAAGGCTTAAGATCTGTATCTTAGATGGAGACTGTTTACAGAGAGAGTGATTCAGGTCCACCTCAGCTGCCCTGTTGTGTCACATGCAGTCGCTGAAAGCAGGAATGTAGCCGTGATAATGGGGTAGGCGACAGTAAAATCGCCCCCTCCCCTGTAGTTCATGTATTTTATTATTTCCCATGTGATTTCAAACTGCGCAAACTATTCTGACTACTAAAGAACTGGATTTATATTTTGCTAGGCTGCTGTTATACAGTTATTGCTGTGTTTTAATTTTAATGCCTTTTAGCTCATTCACCTGAAAATAAGCATGTTTGAAGTATTATATTTCTCATGTTCATTTGTTCTCTTCTGAGGTTTTGTGGGGAGGCTTTGGTTAGTGTGATTAATTTAACAACGAGCAGTTAAAATTTGTATTCTTCGTAGTGGCATGTCCACATATGGTAATTTTGGGGGTGGTCACCTCCAGATTTTACCTCACTTAAACTTCAAATTATTTAAAGAGGGAAAAGCTTGCAAACCTTTGAGTGGATCCTGTTATTTCCTCATCTTATGGTTTAACAGAGCCAGATAGATTAAATTTCTGGATAAGGGTTGGCGCGGGAGAAGCACCTTGGTTGACAGGCTGAGAAGCACCTCAGGCCAACCGCCTGGGAGGGGGCGCCCCAACTGCCCCCCCCCATTCTATGAGCCTGAGAAACGAGCCCCCCAGGATGCCCATGTCTGCATTGCTCCTGCACCCCGCCCCTTCTGTCCCTGAAACACATTCATTTCTTCTTTTCCTTTCTACACCTTTCTGCTGTTATTTCACCTGCGCTCTCTGATCATCTTCAAATTTTTGAGAGAACAGTTTGTACCTGTGGCCTCTCCTCTTTACTGTCCTCTGACCTTTGAACTCTGACCCCAATTTCCAGGTCTGCCCAGACACCTCTACCTTTGTCGGAGAGGATGCACCTTCCCCTAGAAATCGCTCTCCCTTGGGAATTTCCGGGGCGTTGGCTTCCATTCTCTTTCCACTCATCTCTTTCGCCTCGCATCCCGCTCTGCCTCGTAGAATTGGATTTTTTATTTTCGGTGCATTCCTTTCTTCCTCATTAAGCAGCTTGACCTCTTATGTCCTTGAATTCCTTCCTGCCTTTAGCCCACATGCATGGAATTACCCGATGAACCGCCAACTAGGTACTGCTGGTCCACAATGGACGCCGAGCTCGGAGGCTGAGTGGTGAAGACTTCAGCCTCCCGCCGCCTCAGACTCATTTCTCCGTAATCCTGATCACCCAGCACTCAGATGTTTCCAAATCCATGGCTAGACCTGGAACCTGAAGCCAAATAGAGAGGCATTTTAGTTTATTCATTCCTTTAGTCCTACTTCATCAGTATGGCCGGGGAAAAACCCATTAATTTACAAAAATATTTTTTAAAAAGCCCCAAGGATAACTTGATTTTTTTTTTTCATTTAAAAAAATGAAATTTTTCTTTCAGTTTGAGGATTTCCATGAAAAATGTTGGGAAAAAAATTAAGTCACTAAAATAGAAAAACTGTTCTGATTGTTGTTCATTTACAGTTTTTTCTCTTACCCCCCCTTCCCTCCCTCCTTATAAAACTGTTTCACTTTGGTTCTGTGTCTGTGACAACATGATGTGGCAGACAGTCAGACGTGCCTTTGAGATGTGATAGAATTGCTGGCTGAAGAACTGGACAGTTTGCCTCCTACTTCCAGATTCCAAAGACTGCAAACCCCTTATTACAAATACGCTGGATAATGAATTCACATTTTCCTTTTAAAAAGAAGTCTCCTCAGTGTTTTGATGATAATGGCTGAGACTTAAATAATGGCTGAGACTTAAATGAGTTGGAAGGGGCTGCTGGAGAACATAGAATTGCCCTGGGATCTCAGTGCTAAAAGACCTTGTATGGCCAGCATAGCTGAGCTCTGACGCCAAGACTTATATTTGGTCCAATATAAAGGTCCTGTTATGCTCTGAAGGTCTAAATATCATCTACCCCTACCCCAATCAGATACAGATTTGACTTATGATCAATATTAGTGTCTCTATTGGGAATAATTTGCTGGCTTTCTTACCATGTAATATGTATAAACTTTTCTCAGGTCTCTGAACTCCCCTTGAGAGCTCATAGCCGAAAAATGTCTCTTTATTTTCTATATTTTTATTTTTACATTGGCCAAATTGCATTTTGACTGTTGGGATGACAATTAATATCCAGGCTTTGAAGTCATAGCTCTTAGTGCATTTCTGCACCAAAAAGGTTTTCTAAACAAGATGAGTAGTTTGACAGCATTTTTCCTTTTTGTATTTGTAGGTTGACGCCTTTCCTCCCAACGGTTATGGCTTATATAACATAGTCGGGAACGCGTGGGAGTGGACTTCAGACTGGTGGTCCGCTCACCATTCTGCTGAAGAAACGCTTAACCCAGTAAGTATCATCCTCCGAGTGCGGATCTATCCCTGAGCCGCCTGTGGCAAGAACTTCCTGTGATTCTGAGGGGTATTTACGTACTCTTGGAATTGATCATTTTTAAAAAATTAAATTTACTGGGGTGACATTGGCTAGAAAAATTATATAGGTTTCATGTGTACATTTCTGTAATACATCATCTATATATTGCATTGTGTGTTCACCACCTTGGAATTAACCTTGCAGTTTCCCCAGAGGGATATTAAGCACATCTCTTATTTCAACATGAAAGCGTTATGTAAAAGTGTCTGTGAGCATTTTATACGCTGCCGCATGGTGATGGGGATAATTACTTCAGGGAATCAGCGTATAACTTTAGAAATTCTGTTCAGTCTCCTGAATTGATCAGAGTGAGATATATAAATAACTATGCAAACTTCATTAATGTGTCACTAATAACTGGTGAGATCTCCTAGATGGTATTTATCATTGAGCAAGTTGCCTGAATTTTGACTGATTGAAATTTTGATTCAGGAGCAAGAAAATGAGAAAAGGTAGTGCTTCCTGGGTGGTTGTGTCAGGAAGTTGAGTCATTTTGTGATTATTTCCCGAGCTCCGCTGCATGTCAGGTCCACGCATCACGTATCTTAGAAACTCAGGACAGCCACATTTGTCTGAGTCTTGCTTTTTCCGAGATGGGAACAATGTTGAATGCAGCTAGCATACCACTCTGCCTCTGAAACCACGCACTCCCGGCAGAATAAGCAAAAATGGAGACACTACATGGCGTGTGTGTGCAAAGTACTTCGTTGAAAAAGAACATCTGAATATTTTTTGTTGTGTGAACAGATTGGGGCAAAACCACCATGTAAACATCCTATCTCTAGCAAACTAGATATTCATAAGTCAGATTGAAGAATGTATATTTATACCCAAACCAGCTTGACTGGGAACTTGATATGCTGAATTTGAGACCTTAAACTTTCAAAAAGGCACGAAGGATGATGGTAAAGAAAACTGATTCTTCCATCTCTTCTCAGCGGAGCGTTAAACAGCTCAGAGTAATTGAAGAAACTGTTAGACTCTGTGCCTCAGGCCCTTTTTCAGAAGTGGGGATAAATTTGTTTGAGATGCCTGGGTTTCTTCCCACAGCAGAACAAGGGGGCTGGTCATGAATAATCTAGACACACAGGGGGTCTCCTTTCCCAGGTGCAGATGAAAAAGCTGAGTGTTCAGAAACTCTCCTTTCTCCCTCATTCTCCTTGTACTTCCTGGCCGGGCCGGGGGGAATAGCGGTCAAAGACAGCCCACATCTCCAAAATGAGGACAAGATTGTGAACCTCTCGGTGGGTTTGTGGCTGAGAGACGCTGTTTTTACTGGCATCACGTGACTTGGCCTTTGTTGTGAGAATCCGAAATGGAATTTTCCCCTTGGATGAAAGCATCTGCCTGTTTGGAAGGGGCTGCACCGGGCTGCAGAGTCCTGGCAAGTTGTAAATGTATCTCTCCGACCATCTGCTGTCGAGCTGAGTGCTTATAACCTTTCCAGCTTACAATTGCTTGCGTTTCTCCTAAGGATTTGCAGGAACATTCACATTGTTTTCACCAGTCCCGGGCTCTCTCTTGGATGTTGTCCTTTGCTGTATAAATTGTTCTCATTTAAGGCTTCTCTTTGTCATGGTGGCCTCATTTGCTTCCTGATTTGACTGAGATAAAATTCAACGATTTTGAGAACTATACCCGAAATCCCTAGAAAACTCATGCCCCATCATTCAAATCTTTTCAACTTTCCCTCACTGGCAGCCGACAAGCCACGATCATCTGTCATCTGGGTGACTGCATCAGCCTCCCGCTTGAGCCCCTACCTTCATAACCTCTGCTCCGTGGCTGCTAGAACCATCCTGACAGAGAGCAAATCTAGCACCGCCCCTCCTCTAGTTAGAATCCTTCAGTTGGTTCTTGTCTGAAGAATGAAGTGCAGACTCTTGAATATGACTTGTGAAGGCTAAAATAATTTAGCCCTTGCTGATCTCTCTTTAGCTGTACCTTTTTCTTCTTTTTTCAATATTTAATTATGACATGTTACAAAAATTCAGGGAAGCACACAAAATAGTATAACAGGCACCCATGTTCCTACCGTTAGATTTAACATATATTATCAGTTTACTGTATTTACTGTATTTCTTTTAACAAAAGAAAAAGAACAAAAACTGTTCTCTTTGTCAGTATTTGGTATTGTTGGTATTTTTAATTTAAACTGTTCTGTTCAGTGTGGTTCTTTAGTCATCATATTTTAAAATCTGCATCTGATAACTCTAATACCCGGCTACCCTGTGATCTGCTTCTGTTGTTTGTTATTCTTGGTTTTCAGTCACATCTTGTTTTCTCATATGCCTAGTTATTTCTGATCGAGTACTGGACATTGTATGTGAAAAGTTGTAAAGACTATTGAGATCTGGATTGTGTGATCTTTCTCTAGTGAGGATTTACCTTTGCTTCTGGAACCTTCTATTTCAGATTATAAGATTTTTATTGGGAATTGAGGTGATTTGATGCTGAGCATCAGTCTCTGTGAGGGCTAGTCTGGGTGCCAACTACGAGTCTAGGGTTTTGACCATGACTCTCCTTTCCCGAAGGCCCTGAACTGCAGTGTTTTGTTTTCTTTCGCCATGAATCTGTTGAATGTTCTGTGCAGCTTTTTTGCCTTGTAGTTGCTCCCGTTTGAATTAACAGACCCGCAGGGCTGTAGGCTCACCTCTCAGGCTTCCCTTCTGCCTGGGTTCGAGCCTTGCAGTTCCTCACATCGGTGGTGGTTCTCACTGGGTCTGTTTAAAACTCCTATTTCCTCTGAGGTTTTAATTTCTTTGCCTTGTTCCCTACCGGACTGTGTCTCTCCAGTGTCTAACAAAGAACCAGTAAAGCCAATTCCAGATACATAGAAATGAGGGAGGTTTGATCCCTGTTCCCACTCCAAGCGTTTCAAAAGCACAGGCTAGTTAGAAGCAAGCATTTTCAGGGGAAGTTTGACATATCTATGTGATCAGCAAACATTCCAGCATGGGGACTGAGCTCTTCAGTGTCGTGCATTTATGTTAGCCCCAAGACAGCTGCTGATGGCAAGTCACCATTTAAAGCTCCTTTGGAGAGCTTGGGGAAAGTCAGTGTTCTGGATGACAGGCTATTCAGGGGACTTCTCTTTCTTATGCAGTGACTTCCAGGGAGCCAAAGCCAATGACTAGCATTTATTTTATTGGGCAGTCATTTGTGGCAGAAGCAGGTGGTGGCAATAGCCTCGTGTGCTTTGTCCACACAATCCCAAGGAAGGTTGAGGCATTTGGCTGTTTGAAGTGAAGGTCAGTTTGGGCTTAGCCGGTTGGAGGTTATGGGGATTGTGTGTGTGTACGCGTGTATGTGTTTTCTGAAGCTACATACGATGGCATCACCCCCTTCCATGCAGACACAGTCCAGGGTGTGACCATTGATGCTGCTATTTTTTTAAGTTAAAAAAAGTGACTTCTCCCCCCACCCCCTTTCAGCTACCTAACCTTGAGACCCCTGTTAATCTGTGGGCGTATGTAGTGCCCTCAGGAAAGGTATGTGGGAAGCCCATATAACTTCCATATTTCCCACACCTGCATCCTCATGTCACTGCCAGGTGCCATGCTGACCTCCTCACTGATGACGTGACAGGTGGACTGATCAAACCTAAAGGGACAGAGTATCATTTGGGCAGCCTTTTTTTCTAAGAGAAAGAACTTTAGTCTTGGAATAAGTCGCAGTAACTTGGATTATAGCTGTCATTTAGTATTAAAGGAATCCCTCTAAACTTAGAATATATTGTATCTCTAGTTTTCTTATCTACAAATTGGGAATAATTATAGTATTGGGACTATGTTTAGGAAATTAATTTTATCTCCCTCTCCCTAATGGACGGTGGGAATCTTCCTGGAGGAAGAGCTGATGAGTCCGTTTCCACTTTTCTTTGTCGTCTGGAGCAGGTTTGCTCATCCAACAAAGAAGGGCTGCTGAGAAATAGAAATGAGCTTGAATGTCTATGGCTCAGATATTTAGATCCTGTAAACACATTTGCAAACACATGCTTCTTGCTCAAATTCCAATTGCTATCTGGAACTTCATAAAAATACTGTTTCTACTTCTCAATTTACCTCCAGAGCCTCATGTTACAGCCACTGGCTCTTTCTGAGCACAAAGCACAGGACACCCAAACGTGTCATGGCTGCTCTGAGTTTGGAGGATCAGTGAAGGTGGGAACTTGCAGCCCCCCCCACCTGCAGGAACCCCTCCTCTGTGGCCCCTGACTGCTGTGGGCCTGCAGTCTCCAGGGAGCGAGCCCTTTCTAACACCTGGGCAGCTCGTGTCATCAGGTGATCTCACTCAAGGTTCCTGTGACCCCCACAGCACTCCCAGTCAGAGTTGTGGAATCACGTGTGGTCTCGGTCAATGTGCAGACGGTCGCCACGCCCTTCTCCACTCTAGCCTTCCAGATAATTAGTGACGAGTGTGTTTGGGGTACGAAAGAAGAGAGAGGCCTCAGACCTGCCTTGTGTGTGAGAGGCCCACTTCCCCTGCTGCCTAGAGCTTCTGGGGGAGTCAAGTCAAAGCGCTTATACTTCACAATTACAGGGGCTCCCCCACTGAAGGGCTCAATGTGCTTTTTCTCTCTCCCTGTCTTTATTTCTCGTATTCTCAAAATATTCCTGATTGTGCAAAAGGAGGCGTGTGGTCTCCGTCTGGTTTATTATGAAAATTCTGGGAGTGGAGAGCGGTGTAGACTTTGCCCCAGATTTGGAACTTGATTTGCACAGTCAGGACTCAGTCCCAGATGTTCCATCTCGAGACTCGTACGGGTTTCCTGGACTCCAGGTGTGTTTGGAAATACTCAATGTGAAGGTCTGCGCACTTCCTTGGAGTATTTTGTCACCAGCTGCGTATGTTAAGTCAGGAATTTCTGCAAGTGTTATGAAGATGAAAGATAAGAGACATGCATTGCTCTGTCA